CGTTAAAATGGCTCTCATTGAATTAAACAATTAGGGAAAAACTGTATGGTAGTACCAAAAGTAAAGATAAAAGAGATTTAAATATACAATAAAATTTTTAGAAGATTTCATTGTTTTGAGAAGTTATTAAAATTCTTTCATCTCATTTTAACAAAAGGCATGCATAAATGATCATGGATACATGTTGAACTCATGGATAAATAGCAAGGGAAATAGTCTGGTACATTTAAGATATGATTTATGAATTCCAAAACATTATTTTAAGCTATGATTAATAAAAATTCTCTCGATTGTATTCTGTAAAAAAACTATAAAAACATGTCACCAAAAGTGGAATAAAATAAAAACAATCATTTAAAGTAGATCTTTAGGATAAATTCAATAAATTTGGAGCATGCTGCTGGCTTAAAATTGTGAAATTAAATTACACATTGAGGACTACAGTCATAGAATATATGAAGTTCAACTGGCGCAACACAGTATAAAAAAATATTGTGTTACATCGTACTTTGCTGACTAGCAACTGGGGTTTTCAAAGCTTGGGAGCAGCCATCTAAGTAGCAACTATTGGTCTCTCCTTATCTGGAGCAAAGAGTGAAGAAAATCAAAGAGGCAGGGAAACAGTCTAAAGGACTAATGGACCATGAAAACTTCAATCTATATGACCCTTAGACTAGACGAACAAGATGGTGCCCAGCTACCAATGCCAACCACTCAGAAAGGGATCACAATGGGAGATACTGGACAGAGTGGGAGAAAAATGAGGAATGAAACTCAAAATCATTAAAAAAAAAAAAAAAAGGCCAGCCTTACTAGTCTGATAGAGACTGGTAAAACCCCTGAGACTATGGCCTGAGTTACCCTTCAGGCCTGGAATTGAACTCACTCCTATGGCTTAACTCTCAGCCAAACAATAGACAGACCTATGAGCTGAACACCTATACCAGGGACATGCACTCCTTAGAACAATCAACCGTGGAGATTAGAAGGGCAGGATGTGCACAGGAAAAAATGTAGGGAGGCAGGATGCAAAGGGAAGAAGGGCACAGGGACAGGAAGTGGGACATGTGATGCTACACTGTGGGGAATGTAATCAGTATTACAAGACAACACACATATAAACTGTTGGATGTAAAATGAATCTGCTTTGTAAAATTTCACCCAATTCACAATAAAAAGTTAGAATAAAATGCAATACACATTGAAAGCAAAGGTTAATTGAAGAATTATCAAAAACAATGGCAATAAAGTATGAGCAAGTGCTGACCCAATGCAGACAATCAGTGCTTATTGTATTTAGAAAGCAGGAACACACAACAAAAGGTGAAAATAATAATAATCATCATCCAGATAATTTGAGAGAAGGAACAATGTTTCTGTTTAATGGTATTAAAAGATTAATATATAAATCTTAATAACAAAAACTAAAAGTAAACTGGTTGCTAATTGTTTTCAGTATCCTATGATTGCTGTAACAAATTGCCACAAAATTTGTGGCTTTACCAACACAAAAAACTATTATCTTCCAGTTCTAGAGGCTCAGAGGGGAAGATCTGTGTCCTTGCCCTTCCCTTTTCAGCTTCTAGCAGCCAGCTATATTCCTTGGCTTGTGGCCCCTTCTTTCACCTTCAAAGCACATTACTCCAATCTCTGCTTCCATCATTATATCACCTTCTCCTTTCTATAGTCAAATATTTCCCCACTTTCCTCTTTAAGGAAACTTGTGATTACATTTAGAGCCTACCCAATAATCCAGGATAATCTCCCATCTCAAGATCCATAGCCTTTTTTTGCCATACATACTAATGTTCACAGATTCCATTGATTAGGATGTGGATATCTTTGGGACTATTTTTCAGCCTACCACTAGTTCAGAAAATAGATCTTAAAATCCTCATTCTTAGCCTAAGAATTATGTAAATCATAAATCAAATGCTTCCTTAATCAGCTTTACTCTGCATATGATTAGACATTTGGTAAAGTGATGTTCTACTGTTTAAAATCATTTACCTATGTAAATGATTAAATTATCACTCATTAAATTATCACTGAATTGGTAATTCTTCCAATTTCCTAAATTCTTCTGCATGTGTTATATGTACCAAAATATTTACATTAAAATGCAGACACTCTCCAATAGGTAAGTCGATTAGCTATGAAAACAATTACTTTAAGTATCCCTCTGATGGTGTGGCAGTGATGTGTGACATAGGGTATTTTTCTAGATCACAGAAGGTTAGTAGGAAAATCTACTGGAATATAAAGTAGAATTTCCTTTTCCCTACAAAAATATTTGCAGTTGTTCTCCTTACAAACGCATACTCTATACATCATTCTTAAGGAAATAAAGAAATAAAGTAAAGGAGCAACCATCCTTGCCAATGCAATGCAGATCTCAAATATGCAGCAAATATGGCCATGAAGGTGCTCAGAAGCAGTCTAGAGTTTCTCAGATCTCCATAGGATATGTCATTAAATCCTCTCCTCCTGCTGGGTCTGACTTCTGGGAAAAAAGCATATGGTATAAAGATTACTATATTTGGTAGTGAATGCTAATGATCGCTCAGAAGGCTCATCCTTCAGTCTCTGTGGCCTTTAGCACTGAGTTGGCTATAAATGTGGCATGCTTTGATTTGATTCGATCATAAATTTGAATTTCTAGTTTGGAATTTACGGTATAAAGTATAACTGTACAATCAGACATCCAT